AGGGGAGAGAAATTTCCAGCAGGCTGGCAGCTCCATCACCCACCCAGCCCAGGCTGAGGGAGAAGCTGGGGTGTCCAATGAAGGCCAAGATCCCAATGAGGGGCACAGATGGCATCACTCCACACCCCAAGCAAGTCTCAGCTCATCTGAGCCAGAGGGAAGAGATTCTTGTGGCCTGAGCTAGGATCAGGGTACAGGGGTGGCTGGAGGGGCCAGTGGAAGGGACTGATCTGGCTGGGAGGGCAGGAGACCGCCTATCTGGGGAGGCTCCCTGGAGGAGCTGTCTGCACCGAGCCCTGAAGGATGAATGGGAACTAGGCAGGAGGCAGGGGCAGAGTGTCCAACTGGAGACTCCCAGAGATTCAAGTCATGAGCGCCCTCTCTCAGGACCTCAGTCTTCACACCTGTAGGACCGCTGTGTAGGACAGAAACCGTCCCCGGCCAGACGAGGTGGCTCACACCTGTAATCTCAGCACTTTGGTAGGCTGAGGCAGGCGGATCACCTAAGGTCAGGAGTTCAAGACCAGCCTGGCCAACACGGTGAAACCCTGTCTTTCGCCGGGCGCGGTGGCTCATGCCTGTAATCCCAGCACTTTGGGAGGCCGAGGCGGGTGGATCACGAGGTCAAGAGATCGAGACCATCCTGGTCAACATGGTGAAACCCCGTCTCTACTAAAAATACAAAAATTAGCCGGGTGTGGTGGCACCAGCCTGTAATCCCAGCTACTGAGGCTAAGACAGGAAAATCGCTTGAACCCAGGAGGCGGAGGCTGCAGTGAGCCCAGATTGCGCCACTGCACTCCAACCTGCACTCCAGCCTGGGCAAGAGGAGACTCTATCTCAAAAAAAAAAAAAAAAAGAAAGAAAAAAGAAAGAGGTGAGGCTATTACAGGCTCCTACCACCATGCCTGGCTAATTTTTGTATTTTTATTTTTTTTGAGATGGAGTTTTGCTCGTTACCCAGGCTGGAGTGCAATGGCGCGATCTCGGCTCACCGAAACCTCCGCCTCCTGGGTTCAGGCAATTCTCCTGCCTCAGCCTCCTGAGTAGCTGGGATTACAGGCACGTGCCACCATGCCCAGCTAATTTTTTGTATTTTTAGTAGAGACGGGGTTTCACCATGTTGACCAGGATGGTCTCGATCTCTTGGCCTCGTGATCCACCCGCCTCGGCCTCCCAAAGTGCTGGGATTACAGGTGTGAGCCACCACACCTGGCCAGAAGGCCACAATTTTAATTGTTAGTTCCCTTATAAGGACTGTGTATTGTGTGACTCACCCACCAGTTCCTTGCGGGAGTGCCCAGCCTGACACTTAGTAAGTGCTCAGGAAATATTGGTGTTTTTGCTTTTTTTGTGAGGGAGTCTCTTGCTGTGTTGCCCAGGCTGGCGAGCAGTGGCTCAGTCTTTGCCTCCTGGGTTCAAGCAATTCTCATGCCTCAGCCTCCTGAGTACCTGGGATTACAGGCACCTGCTACCACACCCAGCTAGTTTTTGTAATTTTAGTAGAGATGGGAGTTTCATCTTGTTTCCCAGGCTAGTCTCGAACTCCTGACCTCAGGTGATCTGCCCGCCTCGGCCTCCCAAGCTGCTGGGATGAGAGGCATTAGCCACGGCGCCCAGCGGATGAAGCTGTTTCAAAATGACACAGCGGTTGCCTGCTTCCTTCGTTGGGCCAAGTTGGTCTTATCCTTGCAGTGCAGAGTGGAAATCCCACCAGGTGACCTGATTGTGACAAAAAGGGACCCAGAGGCCAAGTCCCAAGCTCACGCCAAGGTTCTGGAAAGAGACTCAAAACACAGGCCCTCCGGGGATGGTCCCAGCCAGGAGTGGGAAGGAGGCTGAACTTTAACCAATTCCTGCTTTGCATCACAGGTCCATTTTTATAAAGCAATTGATAGCAAGATGGAATTGCATGGGCCCTGGGTTCACGGCGGCCCCTCTTAGGAGATTGTGAAGTGTTTGTTAACAACCTTTAGAAGGGAAGACTGGGGACAGGTGTGGTGGCTCATGCCAGTAATCCCAGCACTTTGGGAGGCTGAGGCGGGAGAGTCGCTTGAACCTGGGAGGTGGAGGTTGCGATGAGCCAAGATCACACCACTGCACTGCAGCCTGGGTGACAGAGGGAGCCTCTGTCCCACTTAAAAAAAAAAAAAGAAGGGTAGACTGCTGGAAACTAGGGGAAGTGGGTGATTCAGGGGTGGTCGGGGCTGAGGTTCCACCCAAGTTGAACCCAAGATATTTTTTTCAGACGAAGAATGCCCAGTTCCTCCTGGTTTGGCAAATCAGCCAGAACCTTCCATCCTCTCCTCCATCCTGCTATACACAGCACCCAGAAAGACCCCTGGCTGTGACTAGGGGCTGCTGGCCACATTCCAGGCCACCACACAGCCTTCGGACCCTCCTTAGGGGATTTTGTGCCCACCCAGCTAAATCCTGAATCACAGCAGACGGGACTGGGGCCGAGGGGAGGACAGATGGAGCCAGGAGGCCTTTCCAACGAGGTCTCCCATTCGTTCTGGGTTGGGAATAAAGATGCCCCAAGACTCTCTCCCTGGGCAATGGGGGAATGTGCCCAGGATGAGAGCACCTCCACGGGAGGCTGAGGACAGAGTGCCAGCTGGATTCTCAGGACGTGGCAGAGGCCAGACCAGGCAGCAGAAGGAAGGAGTGAGTGTACCTGGGGTGAAGCCAGGCTCTGTCCAACCACTGCATCTGCGATCAGGTGACCCAGGGGGTCCCGTCCTCAAAAAAAATAAAACAGCTTCTTGTTTGGTATATTCTCAAAAAACAGCAAAAATAACAATAATAATAAAAAAGCTTCATTGGGATGTAATTCACATACCTACAGCAAGCTGAGGAAAGGTGTCCAAATCCGTAAGTCAGTGGTTTCCGGCGTGCTGTATTATTTTTTCATTGTAATTCCATATATTCATATATATATATATATATATGTATGTATAACATACAAGTCACCATTTGGGCCTTTTTTTTTAGACTGAGTTTCATTCTTGTTGCTCACTGCAATCTCCGCCTCCCAGGTTCAAGTGATTCTCCTGCCTCAGCCTCCCAGTTAGCTGGGATTACAGGTAAAGTGGCTCATTAATAATTTTCTTTTTTTCTCTTTTGCTCCTTATGGGTATGAGATCATTAATGGTTTTCTACATTAATTACATGTTGAAATAACGCTTTGAATATATTGGGTGAAATAAAATACGTCATTAAAATTAAATTGGCCAGGTGCGGTGGCTCACGCTGAGATCGCAGCACTGCCCTCCAGCCTGGGCAGCAAAAGTGAAACTGTCTCAAAAAAAAAAGAAAGCCTTTTAAACGGGCCAGGTGTGGCGGCTGATGCCTGTCACCCCAGCACTTTGGGAAGCTGAGGCGGGCAGATCACCTGAGGTTAGGAGTTTGAGACCAGCCTGGCCAACATGGTGAAACTGTGTACTAAAAATACAAAATTTAGCCACCGCGCCTGGCCAATTTAATTTTAATGATATATTTTATTTCTACTTCACATCCTTTCTTTCATCCTAAGAAATAACAACCAGATGGGAATTGGTTACCATAAACATGTCTCTATGTAGTCACCACATTTTCCGTGGCATTGGTGACATAGGTTTTTTTTTTGTTTTTTTTTTTTGAGACGGAGTTTCGCTCTTGTTACCCAGGCTGGAGTGCAATGGCGCGATCTCGGCTCACCGAAACCTCCGCCTCCTGGGCTCAGGCAATTCTCCTGCCTCAGTCTCCCGAGTAGCTGGATTACAGGCACGCGCCACCATGCCCAGCTAATTTTTGTATTTTTAGTAGAGACGGGTTTTCACCATGTTGACCAGGATGGTCTCGATCTCTTGACCTCCTGATCCACCCGCCTCGGCCTCCCAAAGTGCTGGGATTACAGGCGTGAGCCACCGCGCCCGGCCTAGGTTTCTACCAAAACAATACTGCTGTGTTTGGTGGGGAAAGTTTTTATTTAGGTCGGGTGCGTGGCGAAACTCCGTCTCTACTAAAAATACAAAAATTAACCAGGCGTGGCGGTGGCACCTGTAGTCCCAGCTACTCCGGAGGCCGAGGTGGGAGGATTGTTTGAGTCTGGGAGGCCGATGCTGTGGTGAGCTGAGATCATGTTTTACTGCACTGCAGCCTGGGTGACAGAGGAAGGCACTGTGTTATAAATGTATTATGATTTTTTGAGACGTTGTGTTATAAATTTATTACTATTGTCCTTTTGAGACAGTCTCATTGTGTCACCCAGGCTGGAGTCCGGTGACGTGATCTCAGCTCAATTCAAGTGATTCTCCTGCCTCAGCCTCCCGAGTAGCTGGAACTACAGGCGCCACCACCACACCTGGTTAATTTTTGTATTTTTAGTAGAGACGGAATTTCGCCACGTTGGCCAGGCTGGCCTGGAACTCCTCACCTCAGATGATCCACCTGCCTTGGCCTCCCAAAGTGCTGGGATTACAGGCGTGAGTCCCCCAACCCGGGCTATCCATTTTCTTCAATGTACTGTTGAGTTTTTAGATTAACATTTAAAATTGTAAACAGAGCACCCTGGCCTCTAAGCGCTCACCTCACCCGTCGCAAAGCATGATTCGGGTTCCCTCCTCCTCCAGTCGCCCTCTTAGCCTCTTTGAAGGTTTTTCTTTTCAGTCTTCCCAGAACCAGCGCCTCCACACTGTGGGTCCTCGGCCCCTCCAGTTCTGTGCTGGGCTCCAGGTCTTCACCACAAGCTTGCTCCTCCCTCGGGTCCCAGGTCCCCCCACTGCCTGCCTGGTCAGCCCCTGCCACCCAAGTCTTCACTCCTGCCTATTCTCCCGCCTATCTTTCCCACCCCTCCCCAAGCCTCGCCCTCTCCCCCAGGATAGGGATGGGGTGTCTGAGGGCCAGAAGGCGGGGCGCGGTGGCTCACGCCTGTAATCCCAGCACTTTGGGAGGCCAAGGCGGGTGGATCAAGAGGTCAAGAGATCGAGACCATCCTGGTCAACGAGGTGAAACCCCGTCTCTACTAAAAATACAAAAATTAGCTGGGCATGGTGGTGCACACCTGTAGTCCCAGCTACTCGGGAGGCTGAGGCAGGAGAATTGCCTGAACCCAGGAGGCAGAGGTTGCGGTGAGCTGAGATCGTGCCATTGCACTCCAGCCTGGGTAACAAGAGCTAAACTCCATCTCAAAAAAAAAAAGAAACACCGAGTAGACTTTGAAGCCTAAACCAGCAGCCCTGAGCACTTCCTTTTGTTTGCAAACTGCTCAGGTGTCTCACCATGCCAGGTTTGGCACTGGCTCTTTCCTCATCTAAGGGACATTCTTTCCGTCAGCTCCTGCCTTATCTGGAGAACTCTTACATTACCTGCAGAACCCAATCCCATTGTACCCTTTCCCTGTCAGAGTCATAAATTCAATCCCCAACTCAGGGGCACTGAGGGCATTTATGACAAGCTGTGTTACAAATTATACCAGCTTCTCTCAGGATGCTTGCACAGGAAGTGGGTGATTGTCCTGAATCTGTAGCTGGGGTTACAGATGTGCCCTACCAGGCCTGGATAATTTTTGTGGTTTTAGTAGAGATGGGGTTTCACTATGTTGGCCAGGCTGGTCTCAAATTCCTGACCTCAAGTGATCCAGCCACCTTGGCCTCCCAAAGTGCTGAGATTACAGGCGTGAGCCACTGCGTCCGGCCTGAGTGTGTTTTTTATTTATTGTTTTAGAGACAGATGGGGGTGAAGTGTCATGATCGCGGCTCACTGAAACCTGGAACTCCTGGGCTCAAGCCGTCCTCCCGCTTCAGCCTCCCAGGTAACTGGGACCGGAAGCATGCACCATCACGGGGGTCTCGCTGTGTTGTCCAGGCTGATCTTGAACTCCTGGCTTCAAGCGATTGTCCGGCCTCAACCTCCCAAAAGGCGGAGATCACAGGCGTGAGCCACCGTGTCTTGCCCTTGAGTGTACCTTCGCATGTGGGACAGTTCAGGGGCCCCTCTGAGTGTGCAAGGCTGTGTCTCTGTGGGTCTCGCGCTGTGTGGCTGCTGCAGGGCTGTGCGTGGACATTAGTGTGTCTGCAGGTGTGATGAACAGGATGGCGACTGAGGCTACGTGTGCACTCTGTGTCTGTGATCGTAGGTGTGATGCCGTGTGCTTTTGTGAATGAGAAGTGACTTTGAGAGTGTTCCTCTCAGGCTGGACGCGGTGGCTCACACCTGTAATCCCAGCACTTTGGGAAGCTGAGGAATTTAAGACCAGCCGGCCAACGTGGTGAAACCACATCTCTACTAAAAATACAAAAAACAATTTAGGCCGGGCGCGGTGGCTCACGCCTGTAATCCCAGCACTTTGGGCCGCCGAGGTGGGTGGATCAGGAGGTCAAGAGATCAAGACCATCCTGGCCAACATGGTGAAACCGCATCTCTACTAAAAATACAAAAAATTAGCTGGGCGTGGTGGCGCGTGCCTGTAATCCCAGCTACTCGGGAGGCTGAGGCAGGAGAATTGCCTGAACCCAGGTTGCGGTGAGCCGAGATCGCGCCGTTGCACTCCAGCCTGGGTAACAAGAGCGAAACTCCGTCTCAAAAAAAAAAACCAAACAATTTAGCTGGGAAGGACGCAGAGGCTCACATCTGGAATCCCAGCACTTTGGGAGGCTGAAGAGGTCAGAAGATCGAGACCATCCTGGCCAACATGGCGAAACCCGGTCTCTACTAAAAATACAAAAATTAGCCGGGCGTGGTGGCGGGTGCCTGTAATCCCAGCTACTCAGGAGGCTGACAGGAGAATCGCTTGAGCCAGGGAGTCAGAGTTTGCAGTGAGCCAAAATCGAGCCACTGCAGTCCAGTCTGGCAACAGAGACTGTCTCAAAAAAGAAGAAGAAGAAAAAAACCCCAAACTAGCTAGGCTTGGTGGTGGGTGCCTGTAATCCCACCTATCCAGTGGCTAAAACACAAGAATCACTTCCAGCCTGGGTGACAGTTTAGACAAAGAAGAAAAAAAGAGTGTCCCTTTTTGAGTGTGCAGTTCTCTCACTGGGTCCACATGGACCCTCAGTCTCTTCATCCAGAGTGGCTCCACCTCCCTCTACTAACTTCAACTCCACCTTCGTCCTCCCCAGAATCCCACAGAGTGGGAGAACTGCAGACGAGGAGTCGCTGGGGAACCAGGTTGAGCTGGACCTTAGTCTCCTCATGCAGTGTGGCTCCCTTTCCCCTCTGCAGAAGCCCATACAGCCCATGTAGGGTCATGGGTCCTGCCTGCTCAACCCTGTGCCTTGTGTGTGTGACAGACCCCCAGCCAGTGTGCGGCCTGCGCTGTTGAGAATGCAGCCCCCAGGGACTGCAGGGGCTTCTGCTTATGTTCCAGTTCCCTGGCGGGCTGGGCCGTCAGCCTGTGGCTGGGACTCCGGATCTGCGTGGGGCACAGGAAGGCCGAGGTCCCGGGAGGGCCTGGGTGGAGGGTGAACAACACTCACGCACACGTGTACACAGCGGCAGGGGAGCTTCGGGGCGGCAGACCCCGTGTGTCCTGGGCTGAACAACTCTCCTCTCTCCGAGGCCAGGCCATCTAGGATGGGAAGCTGAGGCTCAGAGTAAGCATCACTTGGGCTTCCGGAGCATCTGAGCACTCCAGCCTCTCTGCGGAGGCCAGCCTCAGTCAGCCCAAACGGTGGAGGAATCCGGCACCCCAAACCTCAGTCAGGAGACTGCGGGGGTGGGCAGGGACCCCAGCCAGCAGCAGCCCTGAAACTGCTTCCCAAGCAGACCACCCACGGGCTGGGGCCTGGCCGCCAAGCCCTGCTCTCGGGGCTCCCGGGAAGTCCTGCTGATTGACCGCCGCGAGTGTCTCCAGCTGTAGCTGGGGGTCCCCGTGAGCCAGGTGGCAAGGATTCTCCCTGGGGGCGCTCTTTGCCCTGATCTGTGCCCTCCAGCTTTGTGGGGGGAAGGGAGGGCAGGGGCGGACACTGTGGTTAGAGGATGGTCCTAAGGACAGATGTATGGGGGAGAGGGGAGGGGCCCAGCTGAGGGGAAGAATTGTAGCCTCGGGAGCCCCCAGTCCGAGGGGCAGGAGGGGAGGGGTCCCGCCTCGCCACTGCCCGCCCCGGGCTCGCAGTGCCCGCCCCTTCTCCGCCCCTCAGACCGTGGGACCCGCCGACCCCTCCCGCGCTCTGGGAACCCAACACCCAAGGCCTGCCAAGCATCAAGGTGACACCGTGGGCAAATCTAAACACCGTGCCGGGCTTTTTCCATCCTCCGCAGGGGCTCATCGTAAATCCCCCCTCGAGGCCCAGCCAAGGCTTTTATGAGCAGAGGACCCAGGTCTCTGGGGACCCAGCTTTACCCCAGCAGGCGCCGGCTTCGGGCTGGATGGGTCTGGCGCCTGCCCCAGGCCTCTCCCCGCCGGGAGGTGGGCAGCTTGCGGGTATTTTTAGTAGCTGGTGGAAGGAGATAGTGGCTTTCCGCTCACCCTGGTGGGGGAGCCCGAGGAGGCCGTCGGACAAGGCAGACCTGGGTCCACATGGACCTCAGTCTCCTCATCCAGAGTGGCTCCCCTCCCCCTCCCCAGAAGCCCACAGAGCGGGAGAAGTGCGGACGAGGAGACGATGGGGAACTGGGTCCACCTGGACCTCAGTCTCCTCATCCAGAGTGGCTCCCCTCCCCCTCCCCAGAAGCCCACAGAGCGGGAGAAGTGCGGACGAGGAGACGATGGGGAACTGGGTCCACCTGGACCTCAGTCTCTTCACCCAGAGTGGCTCCACCTCCCTCTCCCCAGAAGCCCGCAGAGCGGGAGAAGTGCGGACGAGGAGACGATGGGGAACTGGGTCCACCTGGACCTCAGTCTCCTCATCCAGAGTGGCTCCCCTCCCCCTCCCCAGAAGCCCACAGAGCGGGAGAAGTGCGGACGAGGAGACGATGGGGAACTGGGTCCACCTGGACCTCAGTCTCTTCACCCAGAGTGGCTCCACCTCCCTCTCCCCAGAAGCCCGCAGAGCGGGAGAAGTGCGGACGAGGAGACGCTGGGGAACTGGGTCCACCTGGACCTCAGTCTCCTCATCCAGAGTGGCTCCCCTCCCCCTCCCCAGAAGCCCACAGAGCGGGAGAAGTGCGGACGAGGAGACGATGGGGAACTGGGTCCACCTGGACCTCAGTCTCTTCACCCAGAGTGGCTCCACCTCCCTCTCCCCAGAAGCCCGCAGAGCGGGAGAAGTGCGGACGAGGAGACGCTGGGGAACTGGGTCCACCTGGACCTCAGTCTCTTCACCCAGAGTGGCTCCACCTCCCTCTCCCCAGAAGCCCGCAGAGCGGGAGAAGTGCGGACGAGGAGACGCTGGGGAACTGGGTCCACCTGGACCTCAGTCTCTTCACCCAGAGTGGCTCCACCTCCCTCTCCCCAGAAGCCCACAGAACGGGAGAAGTGCGGACGAGGAGACGCTGGGGGGCTGGGTCTAGCAGGACCTCAGTCTCCTTGTGCAGTGTGGCTCCCTCTTCCCTCTCCAGAAGCCCGTACAGCAGAGAGGTACCGACGGGGACGAGCTGGGGAAACGAGGTCCACCTAGACCCCAGAAGCCCACACCGTGGAAAGGTGAGGACGGGAACGAGCTGCGGAAACTGGGTCCATCTAGACCTCGGTCTCTTCCTCCGCGGCGTAGATCCCCTTCCCCAGAAGCCCACAGCCGAGAGGTGCGGACCGGGACACGCCCGGGACGGGCAGAGGGACCCGTAGGGAGGCTGGAAGGACGGTCTCTGCCAACGTAGCCCCGTTCACCTTATTTTCCTTTTTGTCCGCCATAAACTGGACCCACTTTGCATCCACCCTTCCCCCAAAGCAAACGGTATCCTCCCACTGGTCCCCGTTTTCACGACGGAGACGGCCCCACAGCCCACCCGCGAGCCCCTCGCCGTGGGTGAATCACGAGCCGGCTCCATTTCCCACACTTTATCTCAGTACAGTTATCGCGAGAGTCACGGGGCCGCGCCAACGTGCTCTGCGCACGCGCAGTCTGCCGCTGGGCCGGCCGGTGGTGCCGTCGGGGCGGGGGGCGTGGCCGTCGCGCCGGCTGGGTGAGGTAGGGTCACACGCAGGCGCACTCGCGCGCTGACAGCTCGCGCACCGTGTGGTAGCGGCTCTGCGCGTCCAGGAAGGACACCTTGTTCTCGTAGGCCGTCGGGCGGCAGCAGGGCTGCGCGCGCACCCGCTCCCGCCTCAGGCGTCGCCGCTCGCGCAGGCGCTGCAGCCCCAGATCGTAGACGCGCGTGGTCTCCTCGCAGGCGCCTGCGCAGTAGCGAAACAGCACCGTCTCGTCGGACGCGTAGCCCAGGCCCAGCTCGCTCACGCGTACCTCCAGCTCGCGCAACCCGCACGGCCGCGTCCCCGATCGCTCACGCGCGCGCCGCCGCGGGGGCCCCTCCCGACGGCGCGGACCAGGGGGCTGCCCGGCCCAGGGCGTCAGCTCGCGCAGCTCCACCGCATCCGGGGCGCCCTGCAGCAGTGCACGGTCTGCGAGAGGAGGAAGAGAAAGGAGCGGGGTCAGTGGGTGCAGGGGAGCCTCCGCTGAACCCCTGCAAACGAAGACCCTTGCTGGGACGCCAGGCCTGGACGGCTTCTCATCTCACTCCCAGATCCCAGATTTCCCCACCCTCTTGCTGAGCTGTTGATGCAGCCTCTCTGGGCGGCATTGAGGGGCACGTGCACACTCACACCCCCACGCTGGTCCAGCACCCCTTTCTCAACCCTGAGCCTATATCAGCTGCCCAGAACCTGGTTCGCCCTTTCTGGGCCGCTTTCCAGCGCATCCCACCTTGAGCTGAGATGACCGGGGTCTGGAAGTCACCTCCTCTGGGCCCCACTCTCACCCCATTGCTGCTCCATTCTCCACGTCTCCCATCGTAACCCTATCTGGACCCCTCCTCTATGCTGGGCTGCCCCAAGACCCTGGTGCACCCTCTCTGGGGAGTGTTAGGGGGCTGCTTCCCATGCCCCCATCCTCTTTAGTGAGGCTGTCATAGGTGTCTATCTCTAGAGCCCCCTCTTCAGTCCCCAACGTCTCTCAGCCCCGGGGCTTTTCAGGCTCCATCCCTGCTGCTCTGCCCGTGCAGTTTCCCCATTCAAGAAACTAATTGGGGTGTTTGGGCTTCTCAGAATGCAGAGGAGCAGTAGGCACTGCAGCCCACTGTGTTCAAGGCCTGTGTGGGGACCCCATTCCATGGGGTGGCAGCAGGTATTGTCAGAGCCACCCCATGTGACAGATGACAAAACGGACCATCCCAAGGTCACACCATTAGCAGGTGGCCAAGAGAGAGACAGGCTTAAAGGACATTCTTCCTGCCTCCATCATTCACCCAAATTTGGCCCAGGTCCAGGCGCCTTCTCCCACACTCGCCAGGAGGTGCCCAAGTCACCGATTCCCAGGGCCTGACAGCCTAAATTTATTACCCAAGCGGCTGGCTCCACCCCCAAACTCTGAAGCCCCGGGAGAGCAGTGCAGACGTTGGAATGACAGGCAGCGCTGCTGACGGACCTGCAGGCGGGGGACTCCCAGCCCCAGAGCAGGTGGCCGTCACGCCTGTGCTTGGGAGAGGGAATCTTGGGTTGAGGCTCCACCTGCCCCCAAGGCTGGTACACCTGGCTGTCAAAAGAATGAGCCTCTGGGTGGCCCTGGGGGAGGAGGGGCTGTCTGTCTCCCGAGGGGAGGGGGAGAGATGTCTGTTCCCACAGGGGATCTCAAAAACAGGACAAACCCAACCTCAGAGCCTGACTCTGCCACTTTTGCCACTTCTGCATCCTCAGCCTCCGTTTCCCTGTTTGTTCCGTGAAGCTCCCAGAATCTCTGCCTTGGCTGGGGCTGAGAGGGTGAGAAGTCGGTGTTGGGGGGCAGCCAATGACTGAGCAACCTGCTCCATGTTTCTTTAAGCCCTGGAGCGGGACTGGAGCGGCCAGGACTGTGCTGGGGAGTTAGGGGCACACCCAACCCAGAGGGGTACATTGGGCTTGCCAGATACAATACAGATGCTGGGCTAAATCTGAATTCCATATAAACTACGAATAATCTTTTAGGATGTCTGTCCTTGCCTCCTGCTTTCACAGGGACCAGAACACAAGGTCCCCAGCCTGAAATTCCACCATGGAGCCTAGAACATGGGGACTTGGGGACTCAGTGGCCTCTCCCTTTTTGCAGCAGGGCAGGCAGGCACCCGCCTATGGGCTCTGACCCTCCCCAGTGCCTGAAAGTCCTCCATTCATGATTTGCCCCCCAAGTCCTGGAGCACTGACTTTTGGGGGCCCTGCCTGGGGTCTCTGTCCCAGTGTCCTAGGAAGGACTTCTCACTGCTTGCATAGGGAAGTGCTGGGAGGACAGACGTGGAGCTCGTGCTGGAGGCCACCCTTGTACATTGTAAGGAAAAGAAAAAAGGATTGTGTGGGCTGGCAGGGGCGGGCACAGACGTGCACAGGGGTGTGCTCGTGGCCCTCACCCAAAGGTGCTGCACACGCACCTTGCTGGCATCTACTCCTCAGATGCCCAAGTGTCTGCACGCATGGACATGTGTGTGGGCACAGGAGTCAGGGCCCTCGTTCCGCCCTTGTCCCATGGCACCTGCAGTGGGGCAGGCACTAGGGATTGGTGGGGAGTTGGGAAAGGGTCTCACCCTCAAGGTAGGTATTTCCATGTCCCTGCAGCAGCGCTTTTACCTGTGTCTGTCTGCCCTCAACCCTGTCTTTCCTCTCTCTCTCCACCCCCGTTACCCCTGAATCTCTGGGTTTCTGTTGTGGTTTTAGCTTGCACTCCATCTCCTGCCTCCCCTTGGTCCCTGTCCCCTGGGGCAGGTCACTGGGACCTCAGATCCAGCCTCTCTCTCCTCCCACCCCCACCCCCCGCTGCGCTGCAGGGGCCAACCGGGCGAATGCCCAGGTCTAATCTCCATCTGGCCCCCAGGGGACCTCAGGGCAGAGCCTAATTCTTTGTGACAGCTGAGCCTAAAGACCCTGGTTCCCAGAAGTCACCCTAGCTCCGCCAGGCCACTGGGGGAATTTGCAACCTCCCTCCACCCCATCTTTTTTTAGAAAATTTATTTATTATTACAGTGTTTTGAGACAGAGTCTTGCTCTGTGGCTCAGGCTGGAGTGTGGATGTGCAGTCATAGCTCCTGCAGCCTGGAACTTGGGCTCAATCATCCTCCCACCGCATCCTCCCAAGCAGCTGGAACTACAGGCGTGCGCCACCACGCCTGGCTAATTTCTAAAGGCTTTTTGTAGAGATGGGGGTCTTGCTGTGTTACCCAGGCTTGTCATGAACGCCTGGGCTCAAGCAATTCTGCCTCAGCCTCCCAAAGTGCTGGGATTATAGGAATGAGCTGCCATGCCTGGCCCTGAATAATCTTTTAGGATGTCTGTCCCTGCCTCCCTGCAACAGAGCTGGTGGCCCTATCTTTCTTTTTTATTTTATTTTTTTTTGAGAGAGAGTCTGACTCTGTTGCCAAGGCTGGAGTGCAGGGGCGTGATCTTGGCTCTGTCAACCTCCACCTCCCAGGTTCAGTGATTCTTCTCCCTCAGCTTCCTGAGTAGCTGGGATTATAGGCGCACACCACCACACCCAGCTAGTTTTTGTATTTTTAGTAGAGATGGGGTTTCACCATGTTGGTCAGGCTGGTCTCGAACTCCTGACCTCAGGTGATCTGCCCTCCTCGGCCTCCCAAAGTGCTGGGATTACGGGCTTGAGCCACCGCGCTCGGCAGCTGGCCCTATCTTTAAAAGGTCTATGACCCCCCCCTCCACTTCCTACTCCACTGCCTGAAATTTCACCCCCTACATTGGGGTCACCCCACAAAGGGGAGGAGCTTACACTGGGCCAGGCGGGCGATCCGGGCGTCCAGGGTTCGAGGCAGGCGCCGCAGGGGGACCAGCGCAGGTCTGAGGCGGTGGCTGAGAAGTAGGCCCTCTCGACACATCCAGATGGACAGCACAGAGCTGCAGAGCACCGAGGCCAAGGCCGCCGCCTTCCAACGCTGCATCCTCAGCCTGCGGGCACGGGATGGTCAGCCGCACGCCCTGGTCTGACCCTCCAGCAACCAGCGGGCACAGAGCGCTGAGCCAGGACTCAGTGGGGTCCTTGACTTTGAACAACGCCTGCCAAATGGTCGATAATCACATGGGAATGATTCCTCGAGGAACCATTGAACAAGGAAGGGGTTGGGCTCCGTGCCAGGAGTCACGGGGAACCGCCCCCATCTGGGGGTCCTGGAGTGCCTTCCTGAGGAGCCGACGACAGGGTCCAGACGTGAACAAAGGTAAGAGTTGGCCAGGCAGAGGAGAATGACATCACAGGCAGGGGACACAGCCAGTGCAAAGGCCCCGAGGCCAGACCGAGTGTGGTGTAGTACCCAGGAACAGCAGCGAGGAGGCCGGAGCAGCTGCAGCTGAGGAGCCAAGGGGAAGAGTGAAAGCAGGAGAGGTCATTCTCTGCAGGTGGCACTCTGGGACAAGGGCACGAGGAGGGTGGTGGTTAGGACAGTCTGGAGGCGGCAATCTGGGGCTGACACTGTTCCCTACACACTGGTGTCCTCCAGTGACTCTGCCCCTCTCTGAGTCTTTCCCATCCAGTTGGATAAGCAGGCCCAGAAATGAGCAGCGATGGACCAGTGCTGCCCCGGACATTGAGTCCCAACTCCGGGCGTTTGCACAGCCAGGTCCTTCCGTGGAGAACGCTTCTTCCCTCCCTCCCTGCTCCCATACCCCCCTTTTTCTTTTTGGTTTCTTTTTTCTTTTCTGTGGAGATGGAGTTGCTCTGTCGCCCAGGCTGGAGTGCAGGTGGTGCGATCTCCGCTCACCGCAACCTCCCCCTCCCGGGTTCAAGCGATCCTCCTGCCTCAACCTTCTGTGTAGCTGGGATTCCAGGCACGCACCACCATGCTTGGCTACTTTTTGTATTTTTAGCAGAGTGGGGGTTTCACCATGTTGGCCAGGCTGGTCTTGAACTGCTCACCTTAGGTGATCCACCCACCTCGGCCTCCCAAAGTGCTGGGATTACAGGTGTGAGCCACCTCACCCAGGCTTCTTTTTTCTTTCTTTTTTTTAACAGGGTCTTGCTCTGTTGCCTAGGCTGGAGTGCAGTGGTATGATCACAGCTCACTGTAGCCTTCTACCTCCCAGGCTCAAGTGATCTTCCCACATCAGCCTCCCTAGTAGTTGGGACTGCCTACAGGTGTGAGCCACCATGCCTGGCTAATTTTTAAATTTTTTTTATGGGGGGGGCGTCTCACAGTGTTGCCCAGGCTGGTCTCAAACTCCTGGGCTCAAGCGATCCTCCCACCTTGGCCTCCCAAAGAGCTGGAATTACAGGTATGAGCCCCTGTACCTGGCTTCCACACCCCTTGCAATATCAGCTTGGACAGCACCTTCTCCAGGAAGCCTTCCCTGACCACCTACCCTATTCACTTCAGCCTCTGGCTGGTACGGGGGCACCTGTGGGCCCCCAGAAATGCCCTGAGCTTCCCCCTTGCTCTGAGTGCCCGGTGGCTTCCTGATCACTGTATATAGTCAGTGTTTAATGACTCACGTGTACGCTCCCCACCACCCCGACCCCGTCTGGGCTCCTCCCCAGCGTCCTGTGGCCCCACAGCCCGGAGTTTACATTCCCCCTCCTGGCTGCCCAGTGTGGGGCGGCGTGGAGCCTGGCGGCCGGCCAGGGGTAAACATTTACACGGAGCGCTGAAAGCCAGGCTGGACGCGGGTCAGCGTCTCTGCGCCTGGGCTCGGCTCGCAGGGTCCTCAGCAGCCCCCCTGACGCGTGCACCCTTCCCTCCCGCCTTGTGCGCGACCCCGCATTGCCCACAGACTTATTTGCGTCGGATTTGCATCTCATTTGCATGGGCCACGCCCCATGTCCCGATGTGCAGAAACTCCAACCACCCCTTCCCCACCCTGTTCATGGACAGCGGCCGCAGGCGCTACACCCACCAGACCTTAAGTAACAGGACATTTATTAAGCACCAGCTGTGTACCAGGCATGGTGCTGAGCCCACAAGAGAGGCACTACTGTCTCTATTTTACAGCTAGTGAAACTGAGACAAAACCGGTAGGGGCTTGTCCAAGGGCTAGAAATGGACGTGGGATTTGAACTACGGTTCTTTGACATGCGCACACCGTCTGGGCTGAGCTGGGCTTGGGAGCAGATGTTGTAGTCACCCTGAGAACTCACCACTATGGGTGGCACTTGATACTGTTTGGTATTGGTGGTGGTTATTCTTAGGGAATGAGCTCCCCAGTATGAAGGCATCTAAACAAATCCTAGACCAGCCTGGGGACTGATGAGAGTGAAATCGCAGGGGAAGTTGATTCTCCTCCAGGGCCAGCCCAGCTGGTTCAGTGGCATAGAATAGGCTCTCTCAGACATTTGCTGAATGGTGAATGAATGGACCAACCAATGAACACAAAGAAGCTAGGCTGGCTGGGTGCGATGGCTCACACCTGTAATCCCAGCACTTTGGGAGGCTGAGGTGGTCAGATCGCCTGAGGTCAGGAGTTCGAGACCAGCCTGACCAACATGGTGAAATCCCATCTCTTAACTACAAAAATGAAAATTAGCCGGGCATGGTGGCATGTACTGTAATCTCAGCTACTTGGGAGGCTAGGCAGGAGAATAGCTTAAACCTGGAGGCAGACGTTGCAGTAAGCCGAGATCGTGTCACTGCACTCCAGCCTGGGTGACAAAGCAAGATTCCGTCTCAAAAACAAAACAAAAAAACAAAGCTGGGCACTGGGTGGCCCAGGTCCTGAATTGGAGGGTCCAGAGTTTCAGGAGCGAATGGATCAGTGGATGGATTTACTGCGAGGATGAGAGAGAGTCCAGTTGAAATCTCTGGGCTTAGTATACAGTTGGTGCATAATAAACAAGGTGAGTGTCTGGCTAGATTGACTGGGGGTGGGCAGGGGGGCCCTCCCTGAGGAGGTGACGCATGCACTAACCCGAGCATCGGAAGTCAGCTGTAGGGAAATCTGGGGGCAGGTGTTGGAGGCAGAGGCATGGCCTGTGCAAAGGCCCTTGGCCAGGACCACGCCT